AGCATTTTAATTTACCACTGATCACTCAGTACGTCTAGGCATATCGCCCCCGTAGCCGAGCTGATGTTCGGGTGCCATATCCTGGTCAAAAATCGCACCTGAGACAGTCGAAAAGAAAATCGTTCATAACTATTGCCGTTGCTTACCAGTATACCTTAGGAGGTTGGAACGGATAAGTGTCTGGAATTTCTACCTTCAGCTTAAATGTTCCGCTTTCGTACGGTGTGTTCGGTGGGCCGCGTATTTCCGCTACGATGTTGTGAAAATTGTCGTTGTCCAGCAATACACTGATGCCGGTCTCGGCCATCTGAACGAACAATCGTCGAACATAAACATATGATTCCGATATCGATTCAGTTCTGTAAAACAACGCAGTGTACCTCTTGAGCGGAAGTGACTTCCTTGAACTCCCGCTGTATACGCTGCAACGCTATGTCCGACATTTATCAACAACATTTGTTACGAAGCAACGACACCGTGCACACTAAACATTATTCGATATTACCGTACTCTACAAAGAGTTCTCAAGTAATGTTATTTAGTGCGAAACATCTTTTCATATTATGATTTTTCTCCTTTAATACCGATGGTACTAGTGCTGGAAACTCACTGTTAATTTTCTGCGAGTCTTAATATGACTCCTATAACCTGAGCCAATTATAGATGTCAAAAATTAATCGATGAATTCGACGTCCGCTACTCTTGGAGCATCTCAATTTCGGTGCTATTGTCCTTGCTATGATTCCAAGTGTCATTTCTGGTGGTAAGTAGTTTATTGTAGTACGTTTTAAGGAAAGTTTTTAACGGCCGGGATATCGCTCTTCTTTACATATGCATTATGGAGCCAGTTATAGCACTCGTTTTATTCATGACGTTACTGGTGGGGACTCTAATCTCCATTTCCGTGTCATCAGCCGAGAGTGCCTTTGTTTTAAGGGCAGAATCGACAGCAGCTATGCGCAAGCATAGTTTGTGTTTTCTTGCTTCCCTCTTCCCACAGACTTATGAGAGTAATTGTTTTTAATAAGGCATAAACAGCAGAGTGACCCAGATGTATATTGTCTGACAGTTAGAGACAGTATGCAACGTTAATATCAAACTATGTTCGCTGCTACGACAAAGTCATATTTATCGTTTAAGTAAGTCTAACTCATCGAGAGGTCTCGTCGTTTTAATCATCCTTCTACGACCAGTGCACGGTTTAAAGGCTAGAATATCTGTTTTAATATGTCTATCGTGTGGAACCTTGTCGAATGAACATCAAATGAGGAATACGGTAGGAATCTCTTCTACGCTTCTGGCGCGGGTGTTGATATCTAAATTTAACCGTCTGAACTGGGGCGACCGAACTGGCATCGACGGAGAACGGCTCTCCCATCTGCACTTTGCAGACGACGTCATCATCTGCACCATAGTCACGGCGTAACTATCTACGTACAAAGACTGTGAAGTAGAAGAAAGAGTCACGTGCCGTCTATCTGGAGATGAACATCTCCTCGACAAAAAGGATGCGCAACGAGCTGTGCTCCGTATGGCAGCGAGGTTGTGGTAAAAAGTGATGAGATACATGTATTTAGGCTACCTCTTACACCCACCGGTGACATCAATGGCGAGATCGGCATAAAGAAGGCGGCAAAAGAAAGCTTAAATCACTTCCAAACATCGACGTTTGATAACGAACTGTCCAAGTCTATGAATAAAGATCACTGTTTGACTTAGTCCTAGTGGCAACTCAAGGGGCGATGGAAAGAAGAATCTGCAAGATCTCCCTTCGAGATCATGTTTCAGTTGCGATAGCTTGGTGTCGGACACAATTTTGCAATTTTTTGATGTGTTCACTTCCTCCTACAACTCGAAAAAACGATGGACTAACCATACAGCTCGTCTGAAGTACAACTGCTAAACATCCCGAGTTACCATCTGGATTCTCTTCGGCAGGAGACGTTCATTCTGTAATTTTAACATGCTGCAATGACCCAGTATTGAAGCTGTCTGGTCAACGGTGAGAGCAAGGGGCTCAACACTAAGAAGAGTGGTAAAATGTCGACTCACGTCTGTGGTTCAGCCGTTCAGGATGGAAGGTTTATCTCCTCGAGGACTCATTTGTTAACATGCTAAGTACGCTATGTCCCATTTGATCATCTCATTAACGTTTAGTCATTCGAACTTACGCGCGCTTTGCATTTAATGTCCGTGCAGTTATAACATTGACATGTATTCTTGAGATCATTGCGTTTGACACCAGTCCAGAACGATATAAAAAGTTTATTACGTAATATATAACCTGTACAGTAAACATTTTTAAAGATGCAAACTTCGACTAGCATCTACACGAAATGAGCGCAATTTATGTAGAAATTTTTAAAACAGCCGCTTTCTCTGGCGATATCTGAGTTTCGAGCGATATGGAGAGGAATTTGAGGATTGCATTATTTGCGAACAGCATTTCCTAACCGATTCTTGCTGAGGATCGTTGCAGCAGGAAGAAGCAGTTGAAACGTCGATATTCTTCGGTGGTAGATTTCCTTAACAACAATGGTCAATCCGGCAGAAATCAATGAAAAGACTTACGCATTCGCGAATGTTCAACTGTTGGCACGTTGGGACCCTCACCATCCTGACCAGCATAACAACAGCTTTTCATGGACTCGTAGTCGAACGGCAGTTTTGGTAAATCTGTCGGATATTCGTCG